TATCCTCTGTTCCTGATCTGTAGAGGAAATGGGATGCTACGCTACTTCCAGGCGCTAACTTTATCAGCTTTAGGCCCCGTCCACACGAAGACGAACCCTGGCCTAAACGCACTAATGTTTCACCAAACCAGCCTCTCATCCACACGAAGCCGGCGTTTCGGGGGTCTGTAAACCATCTTTTTTTTATTCAGCCTTCAGAGTGTGAAGATTCTGAAACGCCGTTTTCGCGTTTCCATCTTTACGCTCTAACCGCATATTTTTTTTTACACGCATGCGTCATAGCGTCGCCTCTAAACACGCATGCGCGACACAGTATCACAACAACAATGGCGCCGTACTGTGTTGAATGGTTGCTGCTCATGCTACTCACCCTGCTGTCGGGCTTACAACAGAATCTTCTTCTTCTGGAATATCTCCAGGAAGAACAGAGCAATATCGACCACATAGTTCAGCACCTGAATTTGACTTAACCACCAAAATGGACCCGCAGGGCAACCACGTATAAATATTAGTGCGCATGCCCAACATTTCGTCGCATATTTTTGCTTTGGCACCACAGCGCCACTTACAGGCCTGGCATACATTTTGCAGCGTTTTCATGCATTCGTGTGGACGATCACATTTATTTTACGTCTCCGTCTTTACGACAAACGTTCTGGAAAATATTAGCGTTTCGTGTTCGTTTTGACTTCGTGTGGACGGGGCCTTAGATTTAAACATAAATCTAGTCTTTTATAGTTTAATGTTTTCCTCTCATGTTAACATGATGCTATATAGTTAATCTATAGAAAGAAACAACTAGAATGCAGATAAAGATGGTTTAATCAGATTTACTGCTCTGATCGTCTCACATGATGACGTCAGAGAAGCTGTTTAACACAGAAAATGGAAAAAAGCATAAAAAATGCATCAGTAAGGTCATAAAAACATTTTTAGAGATGTTAATTAGCATTCTTTAGAGAGTTAAGGACAGAAATAAGTGATTTTAGTACCATAATTACATTATTTATGGAAACCCGGATGCGTATCGTTGCGCGCATGTGCAGGACGGATCGTGATTCCGGGACGGATCGTGACTCCAGGACGGATCGTGACTCCGGGACGGATCGTGATTCCGGGACGGATCGGGTTCTGACAGCCTCTCTGCGCATGTGAAAGCCCTTCTTACCTGAACTTCCGCCATCTTGTGAGAGAATCTCCTATTCTGGTCTAACTTCTTCCTCTTCTTCTCGTTGATTCTTTCAACTCTCAGTCATTTTCTGCTGCTCAAACCAAAGCTAACTGGTTCCATTAACATCAGAAGGCCAGCAGAACGCTTGCCTGTTATGTTTGAAATGGAGAAAAAAACCCGGAGTTTTTTGGGAGGAAATTCTCCCCTGAATTCAAATAAAATTGGTTCGATTTATATTTTTAGTCCAATTTCTGGCAACCAGAACTTTATTTCAATTCTCAGCCTTTTTCTGAGACGATTGGAGGAATTATTTTTATCCTGATCTATCTCTGTAGTTCTGCTGCTATAGGCTTAGACTGCTGGAGGACATAGGGACCCCTTTTTCATCATTCTGCTTCATTCTATCTCTATTCTCCCACTCTGCAGAATCTGTTAGTTCAATCTCTAACGTTCTGCTCTCTCTGCTTTTTCTCATAGTAGCTTCATCTGGTCTGTTCCTGTTTGGCTGTGACTCCATCCTGGAGAGAAATATCAGCTGTGCTGCTGCCATCAACACCTTTGTTTCTAGATGTTGGAGCTTGGCCTGTTTTCCAGTGTAGTCCTGTTTCTCTGACTGTGACTAACTGGATGTGCTCTCTTCATCCTCTGACATGGGAGCTGGCTCGGAGCTCGTCTGCCTGGCTGTGTGTTTCCTGGACGGGGGCCGCCTGTGGAGCTGGTTGACAGTTGCCTTTTGTATCTATGCTTCTTTTTCTATGTCTGCTTCTGTCTCCTTGAACCCCAGTGGGCCTCAGCAGATGGGCGCTCACACTGAGCCTGGTTCTGCTGGAGGTTTCTTCCTGTTCAAAGGGAGTTTTTCCTCTCCACTGTCGCTACAAGCATGCTTAGTGTGAGGGATTGCTGAAGAGTCAATGAGTCGATGCAATCAGCTGGTTTTCCTTAGATAGAAAACTTTGAATCAATCTGACTGGATGATCTGGATCTATAAAGTGACCTGAGATGACATGATGTGAATTGGAGCTATAGAAATAAACTGAATAGAATTGAATTAACGAGGCGAACAATTGAATGGATAAAATCGATTGGTTATTTTTCATTTATCTGTAACGGTATTTTCAACTGTGTCCTAAATATGAATACTTTTCTTTTTTTTTGTTGTTTTTTTTCTTTAACTTTCTTTATATTTTATATTTAAATGTCCTTTTTTTATAAACACACATAGGGTTTGGTTTTTTGTTGTATTATAAGTAATATATCCATAAATAAGTAATAATTTAACTTTATTGTTTATTATTTAAAGGTCCCCTACATGTAAGGCATGTGTTCATTCTCAAAATGTGCAAACAAGTCATTTTTCTGAACGTTGTTGAAATGTTTAATATATAAAAAACCAATAAAGATAAAAAAAAAAACTTTTCCCACTAAAATCCTGAACATGAAGCCGATGAAACAAAGGAGACACCGTGCTGACGGACAAAATGAGGGAATATTTAGCTTCCTCACTTTCATTACTGATGATGGATTATATAATATATTATATTACCTGATTTATAGACATTGACTTCATAATGACTCTGCGATGTGATGGATCTATTTATTTATTCTAAGTTAAATTAATCTACCGTTGCTATTAAACAGTCAGTCTGTGTCAAAGTGATGAATTTATCTTCATTTTAAAAGTCTGAAAATGAGAACATCAAGGTTGCTCTATGCTGTAGTGTAGATTGTTTACATTCCGACCGGTTTAACTAGGGAGTACCAATATGGCGGCCAGTGGCTTCACTTCAACCCCACACTTTTTTTTTATTGCAAAAAAAGAACATACATGAAAAATATGGTTACGGTACGGAGGGTTAAAATAATTATTTAAGGGCAGTTAGAATTTGTATGGCTTTAGTGTTTGAACTAAATCTTAAGGATTCTATACAGATATTAATTGAAGATAATAAAATCTGGAAATTTGTTTTTTTTTCTAAATATTTGGAGGTGTGAAAATGATATTTACCATAGATAATAAAAAATGTATAACATAAAAATTCTGTTTTGACAAGTTCCCATTCCTCCAACAGGCTGCATGCTCCAACAGCACCATCTGGTGGCGGAACGTAGGAACTTCCTGTCTGACGGACTCTCATCCGGGTTACTGGGTCAGCTGACCAAAACACGGAAGTGCTGAAGTTCGCTGAGGATGTGAGCAGAGGAGGATCAGTTTACGTCAGAAAAATCAGCTTTTTCTTAATTTTTCAAAGATTTCCATCCATTTTTAAGGTGAGAGACTCTGAAGGAGAACCGCTGAGTTTGGACGAACTGTCTGGGTCAATCTGGTTTATTAGGAGCTTAATTCTATTCTATTCTATTCTATTCTAATCATATTTAACTCCAGTTTTAGACCGT